GAGATGGGGTGTTGGGTGTGTGCTTGTGTCTTATCCCCGCAATGGGAGCGGAAACTAAGACAGAACATTGATTATCATCACCGTGATGAGCCTGACCTTTGGAACTGGTTTGTGGGAGGAATGTGGAACCATCTGAGAGTTGGGGTTAAAAATGTCCTAGCATGGAGGAAGCAGAGCGTGTGGGTCATTCTTGTGGGAGCTTGAGAGACAAGCATGCCAACAGAGACACTGGCAATGGCTCATGAGGTTTCTGAGGGGGACAAAGTTTGTATCAGTGCAGTCGAGGACCATCTGACATTTCTGGTTTCTTTCTATCTGTGTCCTGAGAACCTGAGTGAAATTGAACTTGAAACTAATGGACCAATTTGTTTGGCAGAGAACATCTCAAGACAGGCGAGCTCTCAGGCTGGTGCTGAGAAAGCAGCTGTAATTGAGGCCAGCATCACTGAAGAGCAACCTTCTGCGTGGCACTGGGACCACAAGAAAGGTGTCCTGAGAGCAGACCTCACCCACCCATGAGAGGTTCCACCCTAAGCTGATGGCAGAGCTTGGGAGCATCAGCCAAGTGGCGCAGGTTTTGCAGGCATGAAAGGAGTCAATTCCAGAGCAAACTCCAAAAGGCAGTCCACATATCCAGAAATGAGTTCAGGCTAGACCATAGGACTTCTGGCAGTTAGATAAAAGCCAAAATTCCTCAGGAATTCACAAAACCAATTCCTATCTGCGCAAAAGAGGCATTTCCCTTACTTCTGGTAGAAGGGACATACGGCTACTCGCGGAGTCTGTCAGAATACCAAAGTTCGTGCTGACCAGTATAACAAGTACTTGTTAACAGATTTCAAAGTCCATGCTAACATCCTAGCCCTTCTCACCTACTCCCTGACCCTAAACTCCCTCCAGCTCATAGGCTTCTCTACCCCTAGCTACCCATCCTTATAGCCTTGCTGTTCTCACTAATATTTACCTATTTACCTACCCACCTACCTACCTACCCACCTACCTACCTACCTACCTACCCACCCACCTTGTTCTCTTATTCTCCCTCACTACGCTCTAGTCTCTGTCTCTTGCTTTCCACTATTTTCTCCCACTTCCCTAGCCCTGAGCCACGTCCAGTCTGCAGACCATGTCCAGTCTATGTCTTTCTCTGCCCTGGTCTCTCCAGACACCTCTGGTTATTTTCTGTTATTTCTCTACAATAAAAACCTTAACCATATTATGGAATGATCATGTCAGCAGTTTTTTTTTTCTGTGTCCCTTGCATACAAAAGGTGCAAAATTGAGAAAGCTACGGGATCTTGCTCCATTGAAGGCCAAAGTGGGGGGTGGGGGGGCAAGAGCAAACATCTAATGTGGAGGGAAGTGGCTGGGGGTGTCTCATCATGTTGCTGTACTAAGTGCACCCTGGTCTGTCCATCTGTCTGAGGAAAGTCAGCACACACGTCTGGAGCAAGCCACTGGCCATCAGCAATGTCACCACCCAGTGTCATAGCAGATGGAACAGGAATAGGGCCTGCTGCCCTTTTAAGTTGATAAGGGGCAGTGGGACTAGAAACCCAGGGGAGGGATGGGTGAGGGTAGGGGCACTTTGACTTTGCCACACATCTCCTGGCATGGCTGCTCTCTGTAACAAGGGAGTAAGAGCCCATCGCTCTGTTCCACTGTTACAGAGAGCGGCTATGGCCAGACTTGTGGCAGAGTCAAAGTTCCTGCTGGTCAAGGCCCCTGTGAAATTGTGAAAGTAAAGCCCAACTTGCCAGGGAGATGACTGGATATTGGAGATTCAGGAAATGTGGGGTGTCCACTGAGGAAACCCATATGCAGAGCTGGGCTGACTCAAGAGAGATATGGAGGGGTGAAGGGCCACCCAATCCTATAGGAGACCAGTTGATTTCATTGGAAACCCCAAGTGCCAGACATGGAATTAAAGGATTTAGTGTCTGTTCTGATTATTCCTTGCTAAGCCCTGGTTCTTCCCTTTTAGGATAGGCATGCTAACTCTGTACCATTATGTGTTGGAGGTATGTCATTTATTTCTTATTTTATAGGAACTCACACGGAAGAGATTGCTGTGGGCATCAGATGGGACCTGGAATTTTAAAAGGCGTTAAAATTATTAAAGACTGGGGGTGGCTTTTGAAGTTGAATTAAATAATGGATATTTTTGGTATTATAAATTGGTCATGAGATGGTGGAAGGTTATGATTTAAGTGATGTGTCTGAGTGTCAACTTGACAAAAGGGAGGGTTGTGGTGGTGCCAGCCTGGCATGATCCTGAATCATGTGGGAGACAAGCCTCCAGGCAGACCTGGGATTGATTATTTAGCCTCTGGGCATTGCCTGATAGTGACTGATAGGTTAATTCAGGAGGGAGGAGCCATCCAAAGCGGGCTTGGGCGCTGGACTGCATAAGAGAAAGTGAAATGGGTCCAGGCACTCATTACCCGGCTTCCTGCTGGTGGGTGCGATGTAACCAGCTGCTTCAAGCTCCCACGGCCTTGGCTTTCCCGCCATGGCGATCTGGGCCACTGAACCGAGAGCTGGAGCTGTCTTTCCCAAGTTACTGTTGTCTGTAAATTTTATCATGGCAACAGGAAGAGAAACTAAGGTGGGGGTATGAGTGCTACTCAGTCACTCACTGGGTAGGACCCAGCACCACAGAGCGAGAGAAAAAGAAGGCCAAAGTGGGGGCAAGAGCAAACCTCTAATATGGAGGGAAGTGCTGAAGTCGGCACACTCATGGTGTGGCTGTGGTTGTGCAGGCAGGAAGAAGGGTGCCCGAGTCTGTGAGGGGTCATCAGGCCCAAGGAGCTTCTGGCTTAGAAGGCTGGCAGGGTCTAGGGATGGATCCCGCAGGAGAGGTCTGTAGTACCTGGAAGAATGTGGCAGGGGAGCGCCAACCCTAGGTTCCATCGGTGGGAGAGGCAGCCCTGCTATGCAGCACTCAGTACACAGGATCTTCTCAGCAGCAGCTGGAAGCGGGCATGGGGGATGGTAGGCCAGATGTGGCCCTGGGCATTCCTGACCCAGGAATGAGGGCAGTAAATGTGGTACCAGAGGGGACAATGACTCACCAGTGACTCCAGCAAAAGGCTTCTGTTAGGAGTGTCACACAGCATCAGGAAATGACTTCTGGATACCCAGGAAACAGGGCTCCAGGGCCTGGGGCTGGGCTGTGGCTCAGCTTGGTCCCTTGGGGACCAACAGAGGCTCCTGCAGACCACAGCTCTGGCAGCTATAGATAGTCACTCAGCCCCGCCTGGCTCCTAGATCCAGCTTCCCTCTCCGAAGCCAACATCTCTCCCAAGAACAGGCAAACCCGGAGTAAGCCTGCTCTGCAGGGTCTAGGCACACCTCTCCCCCAGCCTGCCCGTTTTCTAGGGTGAAAGTTCCTTGACCCAGGCACGCCTCTCTGCACCTTCACAACCACAGCCAAGCACAGGGACAGCTGCACAGGAAGGCTCTGGAAGATGCAGGGGCTTCTGCACACACTGGACCCACAGTGTAGTAAATGTTGGCCTCCAGAGTGCTGCTCTTCCCGGCCCATCCTTGTACCTGCTTCGTGCTTCCCTGTCTCACTGTTTACACGATCCCTTCTCCCTCCCCTCCCCTCCTTAAAGACCAAGGAGGACTGGGCTGAACACAGACCTAGGGTTCAAGAATTCTAGGAAGGTGGTTTTTTTTTTTTTTTTTTGTTCCTGAGTTGGTTTTCCCCGGCGCTGAGGATGGAACGTGGGGCCCATAGAACTCAAGGGCCTTGTATGTGGTAGGCAAAGCCTCTGCCCCTGAGCCACGTCTCCAAGTCTTAACGGACTTGGGATTCTAATTTGTTATGTGACCTGAGGCCAGGCATTTCATCTCTGGGCACTCCAGTGTTTTCATATGTGATCAGGCAGAAAGAGGTTGTAGCGGCAATTCGGTGAGATGGGTCTAAGCATTGGAGGCGGGCACGGGGAAGGCACCTTAGCATACAGGCTGCATCCAATCTTCTCACTGGATCTCCGTCTGTGTGCTGCCTGGCCTTTCCCCTACAGAGAACACTAATTTCCGCCCGAGAAGTTCTGCACATTGGTGCTTTGGTGGATGGGGTCTAGCTTGGGAAACAGTGTGACCAGGGACCAAGCCCTGGCCTAGCTCAACTTCCATGGCCTTGGCGAGGAAGCAGGAGCCCCCTCAAGTTAAAAGCCACAGAACAAATAAGGCCAGGAGGCATGCCTTAGGGCATTCTGCATGGGCTTGGAACAAATTGGAGCAGTGAATTGGAAAACAGCTGGATTCTCAGCACTTAAGATCTGTGTGACGTGAAGAAGAGCCAGGAAGTGCATTTGAGAGCATGAGGAAGTGCCTTCAAGAGCTAGTAAGGTCTGCACTTGCCACTGCCATGGCCACCTCAGTACCAACTCACCCCCCCCCCTCTCTCTCTCTCACACACACACACACACACACACACACACACACAGAGAGAGAGAGACAGACAGACAGACAGACAGACAGACAGACAGACAGACAGAGACAGAGACAGAGATATCCACCCGTCTCTGCTTCCTTAGTGCTAGGAATAAAGGTATACACTACTATACCTGGCCCAATTCTCTTTCTATCTTTGTACCCCTCCCGTCTCATGAAGCCAAGGAGCCGTGTGGTATTGGCAAAGTTGAGTGACCCATGGAAGCCAGACTCCATTCACCTCCTCAGGATTATCTCTGGGCCATCCCCATTGGTCCCACCTCGCAGGCACACCCTGAGCCAAAGGCAGAATGCAGAACACAGAGACCCAGGCCTGTGTGTTTTCTGCCTTACCCGTGATCCTCAGGTGAGTTGAAATGGCCTCCCTCCCCCCAGCACAGGGCAGGTTCAGCGATGTCCCAGACCAGACTCTTCACTGGTTTGTGTGTCTGTATGGGAAGCCCAGACACTTAAGAGTCTTTAGTCCTTTATCTTTGGCATTGTCCTATTAGTCACATTTTCTGAATGAGACGGCTCACTGCTTTCTGTACAACATGAATTAAATATATTCTCTGTCTTTGCTCTGAGTCACAGGACATTCACAGTCAGTGGAAGGGGGTTAGGGAGAACCCAGGCTCCGAGGGGTTGGGGTGGGCATGGGGCCTGTGGAGAAAACATGGGCTTGACGTCCCCTTGGCCTTTCCCCTTCAAGTTCAGCCAAGTGTTGCGGAGACCCTGGAACACTAGGTGGGTATGGAGGAAGGGTACCCTCTCCAGCTTACACTGCGGTGCCAGCACCTTTGCTCTCAGGACCACCCTCTCTGGAGGTTGGTGCCAGGGTCAGGTAGACAGGGCTAGGAAGGAGGTGGGGGATGGAGGAGAGGCTGCACCAGCCCCAAAGAGCCAAGGCTACCTTGGTACCAGTGTCGGGGTGACCTGCATATCTGGGTGTCAGCCTCGGGACCCTGAGACAGGGTTGACTTATCATCCCTCAGGGCTGATAACACCCATGGGCGTGGCTTAGGGGGGAAGGGACACAGGGGCTAGGTCAGAGCTCCTGGAACAGTGTACTCTCCCACCTGCCAGTTTTAAGGCGACCCTTTCCAGACTGGGGGATGGGCAGGGGATGGTTGAGGTGGCAGGAGTACAGCTGGGAGTCCCAGATTACCTCCAGGTGCAGCTGGACACGGGCAGCATGCTGTGCTCCTTAGCCTTGGTTCAAGCCAGAGGGCACAGGGCTCTGGCAAGGAGGGGACAACAGCACGGAGGGGTGGTGACAGGAGGGGCTCCTTTTTTTTTTTGATGCTCCAGGGAGGTCTGCCTTGGGGTGGGGTTAGCACACACACTGGCCCAATCCCAGGGTCCCAGGGCCTTGTTCCTGGAGCAGTCCTTGCTCTTGGAGGGGAAGAAGGTTAAGGGAGAGCGTCCAAAGGCTAAGGAAGGGGTCTGTCAAGCTGATGAGCCAGGCAAACCCAGGGTCCCCTAACTCCCCCGCACTGCAGCCAGGAAAGGGTCCCAGGTCCCTCCTCGCCCCTCATTTCCTCTCAGGGAAGCAGCTTACGCCCCATCCCACAGTGGGTGACCAAGGGGTTGGTGTCCAGGGAGGAACCATCACAGAGGTGTGTGGCAAGCAAGGAAAGGAAGCAACTGCTACCACCAGGGCTGCCAAATGGTCCTCCAGATTGGCCACAGGCGTTCATTGCTCAGCCCTCTGATGGCCACACAGGCCCCATACTTCTGAATTCACGTTCCCTGTGGCCTCCCGTCCCTCGCGTCACAGCACGGTGGACATAGCTCAGAAGATGCTCTGTCGCCTGTTCTTCCCTCGCCCTGGAGAACGGAGGGGGGACAGGAAGGATTAAAGGAACCCTTGTCCTTCACACGCTTTGATCCAGGAAGCAAGGGCGTGGACTTGGATTCCGGCCTCATCTCTGCTGCTTGTGAGCCATGCGAAATGGGGACTTAACTTCTAGGGGCCTCGGTTTCACTGAAGTGGAAAGCATTGATAGTGCCAGTCCACAGGGTGTTTTAAAGATTAGACAGACCGTGCATGGAAGGGAACCACTGTCAGTCCAAGGCCATTTGGCTGTGCTAGGGACAAAGTCTGGACTGGCCAGGAGCTCGGGATCTTCAAAGACAAAACACCAGGGACAGGGTGCGCCCCTGTCAGGGCTACTGTAAAAGGCAGTGGGTGAGGGAGGAACCTCACATAAGGTATGTATGGGGGGTGTTGACTCCTCATCCCAAGGGTAGACTGCCAGGCCCATCTCTTCCTCAAAGGAGAGTCCTCCCTGGGGAAGGCAGTCTACTTGGTTGCTTCTAAGAGAGGGTATAGGGAGAGCATGTGACCCTACCTGGGTGCTGGAAGGCCAGGCCACGATAGCCTGGGTCTTTTTGGAGCTGGATCTCTTTCAGGGAGAAGATAGAGGCAGCTGGGCAAGAGAAGAGGGGAGGGGAGGCCTCAGGGGAGCCACTCTGCTTGCTCCTGTACCTACTGTTCCCACTTCCACTAAACCCACAGAGCTGAAGCAGCCTCCTGTCAAGACTCAGTTCTCCAAATGAGAATTGGGAGGGGGAAGCCATGTGTCCAAGACCACTCGCCTGGACCCCAAGGGTCCAGCCCCTGTGATAGCCCCACCCACATCCACCGCCCCTTTCCTTGTTCTGGCCCCGGTCTCTTGGATACTTACTGTCATCAAGCTGGTGTACGCGTTCTCCCAGAGACTGGAAGTAGGGGTGACTTAGGGCTGCCTCTGCTGACATACGACTCTTGGATTCGTACTGAAAGGCACAGGGTAGGCTCTTGGGCCCTGCTGGAGAACCTTCTAGAAAATGGGCCCAGTTGGGAGAAGCCCCCAACTGACCCAAACCGGGCAGCCTCGGGCGGGGCTTAGGATACCAGGGTTCATTCAGATGCCAGGAAGAAACTAAAATGGGGTGATTACTTCTTGGGATGGGCATACATAAGCAGACGATGCCAATCATCCCCTGAGGGAGTATTCGTGCTATTCACAGATTGTGCCCCTAACTACCCTTTACCCTGTGCTTGCTCCCAGGTGGGCGCTGTGCCAGCCCCACAATCTTGGTGTATCCTCAGCATCTTCTAAAGCATGAACTGATACCCGCCATGCATTTGAGAAAACTGAGCCTCCCGTCCTCAGGAAGTGCCCAACCAGGCCTTGAGTACTAAGCACAGGGACTAGTGCCCCTTTGGGGCTTTGGAGCCGCAGGCCTGAGCTACCGGCCAGGCTTTCTTTAATTGTCTCTCTCTGGGTAGGATTGGAGGAGACTCACCAGGAGGAGGCTGGTCAAGAGGTTGATGCCTTCAGTATCCAACCTGCAAGGAGGAGGCGCTGGCACAGGCACAGCCAGGGGCAGGCTGGGGACCCGAACCTCTGGGAGGGAGATCACAGTGGGGAGCCAGGGGCCTGGCCAGGGACTACCTGGGAGCATGGTTGAGCAGCGGCTGTGGCAGGTACCGGGGGAAGTTGTAGGCTTGAAACTCAGAGAGGGATGTTACACCCGGCCATGTCTCTTCTGTAGGAGTCCCTGGAGAATTGGAACGGTAAGAAGCTTATATTGTAAGGGTTCAACAGAGAAGCCAACAAAGAGTGGTTCCCACCCAGCCCAGTCCTCTGTGCTCCTGGGTGGACAGAGTTCTGGTGACCCCTGGTGGCGACATGGAGGGTACAGAGGGAGACTAACCTAGGAGACGGAAGATGAGGTACAATTCCTCCTTGACAGTAGAGCCTGGGAAGAGGGGCTTCCCGGTGGCCATCTCATAGAGGATGCAGCCCACGCCCCTGGGGAAGCAAGGGCAACGGTGAGGCCAAGAAGCACAACCATCCCTCCTAAGGCTTCTGTGTGAGGGATTCAATGACACCCTAACACAAGCCTGGTAGATCACCTCTGGGTCTTGAAAGGCTCCTAGAACCAACCAGACTCCCACTACGGTCCCTCTCTGTGTGTCCTGGGTCCACTTAAGTCTGCTAGGCAGAAAGGCAGGTGCATATTCTCACTCTCTGGGGAGCCGTGGGCTTGGCCAGAAACCTGGGTTGGCTTTCAAATTGAGCTGGTTTTCATTTTACACTAAATTGCTGTGGGGATAATGCTCTTGTACACTGTAAAGATTTGTCACTCTTGTTGATTTAATAAAACACTGATTGGCCAGTAGCCAGGCAGGAAGTATAGGCAGGGCAATGAGACTAAGAAAATTCTGGGAAGAGGAAAGGCAGAGACTTAGTCATCAGCCTGATGCAGAGAAAACAAGACGAGAATGTCTTACCAGGAAAAGGTACCAAGCCATGTGGCTAGACATAGATAAGAATTATGGGTTAATTTAAGTCGTAAGAGCTAGCTAATAATAAGCCTGAGCTAAGAGACCAAACAGTTTGTAATTAATATAACCCTCTGCGTTTATTTGGAACTGAATGTCTACAGGACCAGGCGGGACAGAAACTTCTGTCTATACCAAACCATATATTTGTCAATTTTAACAATCAAATAGTATGTCTCTTCCAAATATTCTGGGAGAAAACTCATCTACCCTCTGGCAATTCCCACCTCTACCCACGGGGAGGCATATCAGAAGTACAGCATTAGAGGGTCTATAAACTCAGAGACACTGATATATTTCTGATTTAATTTGCTAGCAGTAGCACAGCAGGGAGAAGTGGTACTCTGAACTAGGGCAGGGCCTTCCTGGACAGGGTCTAAAGTCTCTCCTACTCTCCCTCTGCTGCTCACTCACCACATGTCAATGGGGGTGGAGTACTCTGTGGATCCCAGCAGCACGTCTGGGGGCCTGTACCAGAGAGTCACCACCTCATTGGAATACGTCTTCGTAGGCACTGATTTGGCACGGGCCAGGCCTAGGAACAGACAGGTCGCTGAATCTCTGCTAAAGGGTCCTGAAGAGTCAGGTTCTCGGGCATCCATCAGAATCCCTCTATCCTGAGGAGACTGTGCATCCCAGGGGTCAGACCCACTTGCCAACCCTGACCCCTGACCCTGGCGTCTGCCTCACCAAAGTCAGCCAGCTTTAGCTCGCCCCTCTCGTTGATGAGTAGGTTCTGGGGCTTCAGGTCCCGGTGCAGGATCTTGCGGCGGTGACAGTAGGCCAGGCCCCGGAGCAGCTGGAACATGAAAATCTGGCAGAGAGAGGGAAACGGGGAAGTGTGATAGGACCAGGTCCTATATGGGAGACCCTTCGCCCCTGTCTCAGACTAGAGAGGAAATCTCTAGGAAGGCTCCCTGGTTCTGTCGGCCACCCTGCAGACCACCTGGGACCTGTACACACCAGGAGTCACACACGGAGAGGAGGCAGTGAGTGTAAGAGGCTGGCACAGCCTCTAGATGGGAAGTAGGAGAGTGTAGTGATGAGAGTCCCCTAGGGGGGGGATGGATGTGCTCAGTTATTCATTACTAGAGCTGGTCATTCGCCCTCCTCGCTTCTCAGAGGCCTCCCCTCACCCTGGCACGGAGCTCATGCTTGAGATCCAGAGTTAAGAGAGGGATCTGTACCAGCAGTTAGTCAGAAGTGGAAGGTAAGTCTGTTCTTGGCTGGGGTGCTCAGAATGGCTTCTAGACTAGCCGAGTGACCTTTCCCTCCTTCCTGTGTTTGAAGCGCTGAGCAACCTCAGCAGCTGGTGGGAAGAGGAGCATCCCACGCTGGCCTTGATGACAGATGGCTGCCATGATGAGGTCCCTACCTTAGAGGCCCTCACCTTGACATTGTGCATGCTCATGAGGTTTCCACAGTGGTCTAGATACTGTTTCAGGTCGCTGTCCTGGAACAGACAGTCAGATTCAGTGCTGCCCCCCCCCCTGCCTGCCCAGTGGTCCAGACCCAAGCTGAAAGGAAGCCCTCTTCAGTCTGGGCCCCTGCCTGCTGGCAGCACAGGGCCCTGGCTCTGAACCCTTGGCCCACTTCCGCATGGGAACTTCCTCGACAAACAAACGCTAGGGTCCTTCCCTTGCCCCACCCTTCCCAGGCCCTCACCCCCCCCCTCTTTCCTACCCACTTCACCCACCACAGGGGAAGAGGCTGCCAGCCCCAGTCCAGCTCACCAGGTACTCAAACACCAGGGTGAGGGACCGATCTGTGTGAATGAGGTCATGCAGGGTCACAATATTGGCGTGTTTCAGGTCCTTCAGCAGAGACACTGGGGAGACAGGCCCACCTGGGTCCCCAGGCCCACCAATACCTCCCCCACTATCCCTTCCAGGGGCCAAAGACGGCCCTTCACCCAGGCTCCCACCAGGTATAGGCTGAGCCCCTCCTCCCAGAGGCCCAGGGTGCAGACCCGGACATTGTACCCTCTCGAATGGCAGTACAGGGTGCTCCCTCCTCATGCTCCAGTCGGATCTCCTTCAGGGCCACTAGGTTCTCTGTCAGCTTGCTGCGCCCCTTGAAGACGGTGGCATAGGTACCCTGGGACAGAGCATCCCTGGTCAGCCCCAGGAGGATCCTGTTCCTGCTCTCTTCCCAGTAACACCCTTCACGTGTCTGCTCGGGTTAGGATTCAAGCTGGGTACCCTACTCCCTCTGTCCAAACTGTTGGCTCAAAAGACTGCTTTCTCTTAAAGTATCTCAATCAGCTCCCCAGCTGGAGCAGACTGCCCATTGCTCTGCTCCCTGGCTGGAGCGGGCTGCCCATTCCTCTGCTCCCCGGCTGGAGAGGGCTGCCCATTCCTCTGCTCCCCGGCTGGAGCGGGCTGCCCATTCCTCTGCTCCCTGGCTGGAGAGGGCTGCCCATTCCTCTGCTCCCCGGCTGGCTGGCCCTCGGTTACCACAGCCCAGCCTTGCTCTTAGGTCATGATGATATGGCTCTTGAAAGACAGGGCCTTTTTCCCCTTCACAAGTCTATACCCACTCCAGTCCCAAAGCCTGACACAGCGATGCAGAAGCAGTTTAGCAAAAGAGCTCTTGCTGTGTGTCAGACACCAGGAACTTGTATCAGCTTCCTTCGGTACCCTGCAATCCCCCCAACAATAAAGTCACTACTCTCCTCCTTTGATAGACAATGAAACGGAGGTGAGAGGCCATGGGACGTGTCACAGTCATAGGGCTAGCAAGGGTTCAAACCCAGGCCATAACTACTTGACTAGATTCTGTCCAGAGACCTCTGTCCTCTAGGCCTCAGTCAAGATCAAGGGACATCTCAACAGCTGCTGAAGGCCAGGCCAGGCTGCTTGGCTGGGACAGTGTGACTCGGAGGGTCAGGAGCCGTGAGGGGCAGAAGAGTCGTCACCAATCATCCTGCTGCCCAGACAGAACAACACCGACTCTTACCTCCCCCAGCTTGTCCAGTTTCACATACGTTTCCTGTTTCCCAAAGCCGATATCTGACTGGGAAGGAGACATAGGAGACGGTGAGACTCAAAGCCCCAGCAGATCTTTCTAGTCCATATTCCCTCAGGAGGAGGGCAGGAAGTGAGACGCCCCCATTGCACAGAGAAGCTCCAAGACTACAAGCTCAAGGGAGGGCAGCTTCAAAGTCATCTTTTTCTCCTCATGAGAATTGAGGGACCCCTTCGATAGGGGCCCCTTCTTCCATGAGTCGGAGATGGACACGCCTTGCCGAGCTGCCTTCCCAGCATCCACCTCACTGCTTGCCTGGCTCTCTTGCTCAGTAGGTTACTGGCTCCTCCAGGGCAGGCCTGTCATTCTCTACTTTGTAGAGACACCCCACACACATCCAAAGTCTCTCATCAGTTCATCTTATCTGGCTCAGGACAGGACAGATCTTAATTAGACAGGGCTCTGAGGCCCACTCACTGGTGAGACTCCTAGGAGTTCCTCACAGGAAGCTGGAACCTGCAGGCCTGTGATGGGTGTTCTGACAGGTCGGGCTGTTTGTTTGTTTCTTTGTTGTTTTATTGGGGAGGTCTTTTATTTTTTATTAAGCATTACATAACATATGTGAGCTATATAAGAGACTGCGTGGACTTGTAGCGGAAATAGAGGACCATAGCTGAGTGTGCTTGCTTGTTCTTCTCATCAGCAGGAAAATGCTTCCTTAATCCATGTTCTCCAGGCCCCTATGCACAGCGGTGACCGACTCCAGAGACGCGCCTATCTCTTTCTGTCAAAGGCCACTGGAGAGGAAGTGGCCACAGCTCTCTAGACTTTGCTCCCATTAGTGCATTAGTGAACTTGTGGGTGTGCACAGTGGCTATTGGGGGATGACCAAGCATATGCCCACGATGGTGAGACAGGGGAGTCTCGAACCACGTCTCTACACAGCAAAACACCACCTGAACCCTATCTGGCTCCTGGTTTTGTTTTGTTTTTGAGACATAGTCTTATAGTGTACCCTTGGCTGACCTGGAACTGTGCAGCCAGGCTGACCTTGAATTCTTGTCACCCTGCATCAGCCTCCCAAGGAATGCTGGGAGTACAGATATGACTCACACCACAGGTTTATTGGTCTTAACCTGGGAGACCCTGGAGCCCATTTAGCTCCATATCCAGGTGTGTTGTTGACACAGGGAGACTATTGATTGGAATCCGGAGTGGCCAGCAGGTGGCGCCAGAGGCACAGGAATCTTTCTGCCTCTACCCTAACCGCTGTCTCCCACTCAGCAAACTCTGACCCTCCTTGGACTCACCAGGGAGGCGCGACGGGACATTCGGGTGAGTGGCTTGGGCAGCCCCGGGTTCTCCAGTTGTAGCTTCTGCAGGAATTCCTGGGGCAGGCGGATATCCATGGGCAGAGAGAGCCTCTTGTTGAGGTCCTGAGGTGGCAGATGAGAGGGGGAATACCATGTTGGCCTCGGGAGGTCCCTGCCTTTCACTCTGGATTTATCTGTTCATATAGAGCAGGGTCAAGCCACAGGCTGTGACCTCAGGTTCACAACTACCTGAAGGGTATACATATGTGAACCTACAAGAATTACTGTGCTACCTTTAAGAGGTTTCATCCCCTCTCTGGGCCACAGAAGCCGGACTGTCGAGCACAAACCTCATACCCTCACAATGTAATTTTGTAAGCACATTTTTCCTGTACTTAGCAACAGATATGTGGGTCATAACAACAGACAAGCTATCTAGCCAGGAATATTCTAGTCTTTGGCATATATTCTCAAGCAGTTCCCTCAATAACCTACTTTGATTTGAGTCCCCAGTGATTGGGGGAGCCACCCTACCATGTCTATGGCTATGGAGACTGAAGGGGCCTCACCTCCATGGAGAAGCGGCGTTGACTCTGCCGTTGTTGGTACTGCATGCCAGGGGACAGCTGCCTGGGCTCATCCCCGCCATCTGTGGGAGAGAACATGCTCCGTCTCGGTCCACAGCGCTGAGAGGCATGCCTGAGCGGGACAGGCATCGGTTCCTACCTCCCACTCCACGGTCTGTGGACAGCCCAGGGCACCCCCACCCCGGCCCTGATGTACAGCTAATCAGCAGGGCTCACAGGGAGTCTGGGCGGGAAAGAGCAAGGTGGCCTGACCCTCACCCTCATTCCTCTGGGTGTGGATCTGGTTTAACTGTTCGGTGAACTCAGCCAAGGACTCCTCAATGGTCTCTGGGCGGGGCACGGACAGGGAAAGCCTTCGCTTAAAGTTCTTCATCTTGTTCATGGTCAGCAGGGGGCCGTTGTGGGTCCTGGGACAGAGAGGAAAGAACAAGGCGGCGATGTGGCCGCTCTATACCCGTGGGAGCCAGGCTTTAGGTCATCCTGACCAGAGCCTCAGTTCTATGATGACGGATCTAACCCTGTTCCTTCCTCCCTGCCATTACAGCATCCATGTGTACGGCTACAGGTTTCCAAGAGGTGACTCTCGACACCCAGCCTTCAGCGAGGGTGTCTGGAGATCTCTGAGAGAGGATACCACACCTGGATGGCCTTCAGGCCATTGGCTCTTTCTGAAAGACCCTAACTGCTCGGGGCCCACTTGTCAATAGGCTTCGAACTCCGTGACACCTGATACTGATACCAGAATGTCCCCGCTCTCATCCTGGGTCCTCAGGCAGAAGGTCAAGGGAGAGCGAGTGCCAAGTCCAACCTCTGCTCCAGCTGCAGGGTGCAAGTCAGGAGCAGCGTGGGAAACCCAGGCAGCCCAGGAAAAGGGAAGCTGGAACTGCCGGCCCCTCCCTCGCCTCAGTCCTCTGAGCAGGCCTGGGTGCCCTGGGTTGAGGACACAGTGGGGTGGGAGCTGCCCTGTTCTATTGCCCTCTAAGTTCTGGCCTCTGACGGCACCATGAATGTTACTGCTGCTTCCCACAGGTGGATGCTCCATTCCCTCCCTTCCTTTCTCCCTCCTTCCCTCTTTTATTCCTATTTTGAGACATAGTCTCACTGTGTATTTCTGCTGCCTAGCCTGGAACTTATTATATTGACCAGGCTGTCCTCGAACTCACAAAGATTCATCTGCCTCAGCCTCCTGAGTGCTGGGATTAAAAGCTTTTCCCACAGGCCCCACCCTCCGTGGGCTTCAAGAGCACCCATCAGCAGCCACATCGACACCCTGCTGGGCCCCATACTGCCTTCAGTTACAGAGAGGCTGCAGGCACCAGAGGCTATACAACCCCCTTAGCTCCCCACCCTGGCCAGGAAGGCATCAGGAGGGCCAACCCTATGAGAGGGGGGATCTGCACTCCTCCCTGAGCCTACTTATAACCCACTTCTGGAGGATGCTCAGGCCTGTGGCTGGCCGGCACCCAGTTGCCAAGGCAACCAGGCCCCTCCTGAATCCTCCTGGTTTAAAGGATTATGGGTCAGTAACATGTTTGCTTTGCTTAATGATCATATCCTCTGTCCTCTGTTAGCCTGGAGAAGGCCCTCTTCCTGGCACCCCATGCCCCTGACTGTCCCTACCACAACTGAGCTGATCCTCAGGCTCTCCTGACCCAAGAGAAGGCTCTGGCCTGCACCGCTCAGTCCTCCTCTGCTGAGGAACTTGCAGACCAAGTCAGTCAGGATGGCTCCACTGGTGGGTGGAGCATCTCCTACATACAGCCTGGCGATGGACACTCTGTTACAGTAACTAAACAAGATCCCGGTTCCCTCACGAGGAGCTCAGGCTAATGACAGTACGCTGCCAAGGGCTCTTCTCAGCTTCCTTGCCTTGCCCACCAGGGTTCACCCCAGCTGGATTCCCACTTATGGCCCCAGCCTGTATGACGTCACAGGCCTGCCTTTTGCAGAACTCAGCTCCCAGAGGACAGCCACCCTGCGACATGCCCCTGTGTGTGGCATCTGGCTGAAAGGACCCACAGAGGCTCTGTGATGCTAACAGGACAGATGGGCTCCAGGGACAAGAAGACTCAGTCGTTCCCTGCCTGGTAACTCTCGCTCCTAGCAAGACCAGAGGGTGGCGAACACTCCACGTACAAGTCCGCTGCCGTACAGCCGAATGCTGGCGTGACAGGGACATCCGAACACACGCTAACTACCAGCTTCTGGAGCTGGAGCCTGTGAAAATGCTTGGGGTTTCAGGGCCTTGCAAGTGGTAGGCAAGGACTCTGCCTCCACCTTCTCCTTCAGGGTTCTTAAAGAATGTGTGTGTGTGTGTGTGTGTGTGTGTGTGTGTGTGTGTGT